AGTTCCGTGATATCCGGGATTATTCTCAACTACACTCCGATCGGTATTATTCTCCCATTCCTTAAACACTGGCAACAAATCCTTATAACTCCAACCGACAGCACCGTATGTATTGACCCACTCGTCATACCCACGACTATTACCTCTAATGAATACCATTGCATTATGTGCCGAACAGCCCCCTAATGTCTTGCCTTTGTTCTCAGGCACCCGACCCCCAGCGTATTGCTGTCCAAAATAGGGCCTGGGTTCATTATTGTATAGCCACTCATTCACATGTTTCGTGATGACCTCGGTATACATCCCTGGTATGTCGTTATATGTGGCACTTTGAGCACCTCCTGCCTCCAGCAATAGCACCCGCACTGACTTGCATTCACTGAGTTTGTTGGCCACCACAGCACCCGCTGCCCCGGCGCCCACCACTATAAAGTCATACGTATTATCCCATGTCTCACGTGATGCCGTCCTGTCGTGAATTAATTGTCTCTGAGCCGTAATCCACGAGAGCACCAGTAGTTTGTAGGTTAGCACTGATATCTCATACATGTTCAAGTGGTATAAACATTTGTGTATTTTTTTATTTTGTCTTTATGTTACTTTTATTAACTTATTTAAACAAAACATATTTATTTTATAGATTATGTAATATATGTAATACATATGGCATAAAATGCTCATAAATATATCGTAATGTCGAGAAAAACACGTGCTTTTCGATTGGTCTGGTAGTGTGGGGACTCGGGTGGGGACTCGGGTGGTGTAGCCGTGAGTAAGACCAATGAAACCGTTACTTGAGTGGTGACCGCACGTTGAGTCACGGGATGACAGCAATCACTCTATTGCTATGCGTGCGCCGAAAGATCACGTCTGTCCTGTAGACTGAACTCCGGCTAACCATTGATTATTCGGTGAACAAATCAATTGTCGGACAGACAGACCGACAAAAGGAACGTGGTTTCCGAGCGGATGGGGTATCTCCGACTGGTCCTCACTCCCGATTGGAGGGCTGACGGACTGACGGACGAAGGGTTTGTGTTTAACAAAAGCACTTCAATTGAAAACAGATTTTATTTCATTAGCCCACGAGTCGGACAAACTTAAGTGTTTGGATGAACGGGTAATACTCGACTGAAGTCCAACTGCAAAAGCATTGCAGTCTTACAGTAACAAAATGATTACAGTATTCAAAGGGCTAAACCAATATCAAATATTTTAGACAAAGCAATGACTACTCATTAATGGAAATTTACTGAAAAACATTAGACTCAGTCTTAAGGATTATAATAATTAATAGTCTAATTATGAATATGGGCCATTCAATAAGTACGTACGCAAAATTTGACCCCCCTCTCCCCTTGTTGCAAGTCGTACGCAGAACCGATACTCCCCCTCCAGTGCATACGTACATTTTCGCCGACCTCCCTCCCCCCACCTCGTGCGTATGTACTTATTGAATGGCCCCATACTTGAGTCAAAACGAATAATTAATAATAGAAAAGTACTAATAATAGTCGTATTCATAGCCCTATACAACAAATAGCTGATATTAATTTATAAAGTTTTAACTAGCAAAATTTGTAACACACCAAATTATTGAATAAAAATTATTAATTTCTAAACTTAAATTACTTTAAACTAATTATAAACAAGATCAATTTAGATTGCATATAACTTATGTTTGAAAATAGTTTTATTGCGGGGCGAGGGGTGGGGGTTCAGTGGTGGGCGCCGGTGTGAAGCTGACCAGTTTCATGAGCTCCTCCGTCAGCCCCAACTGCATGTAGTAGAGTTCGAACGACAGTTCCCTTATGCGCTCCTTTTCCTCGGCCACCTCCAGTTCCTGTACGAGTTGGCTCACCCTAACCTCCCCGTGCCTCAGGAACCGTATGTCCGCCCAGGCCTTGTCTTTACGGTCGTCCTCAATGAGGGCCAGTGTTGTCACCTCCCGGGCCACCCACTCCTTTAGCGACTTAGCTTGCTCAAATAGCTCGTCCTTTGTGTAGTCATTGGTGGACTACAATATGACACAATTTTTAAAAATATACTCAACTATATAGTAAATAAATTAAAAACTAACTAGTTAAATAAATACATTTTAATAGACAATACCTGAGAAATACTTTTTGAATTACATCCAATATAGAGACTAAATAATACTAACAAGGCAAACTGTTTCATTTTACTTATAATTCTCTATCTGTTATAAAATAAAAGTTTATAAGGCTTTGTCTATTTTTTTGTTAGCTTATATACCTATTATTAAGTTAATTACAGTTTTATTCATTTAAATGCACATACTGTATATATTTTAAACAAGGATATAATTATTTGTCATGAAAAAATTAGCAAAATTATGAATTAAAAACATTCAAATTAATATCAATTATTATAATTTTTATTAATGTTTTTATTTATTTTGTACAAGATTTTATAAATTCAGGATGTTTATTGTAAAATATATTTCATAATTACGGTATTATTTAATGATACTCATAATTAAACTAGTTCATTAATTATCTCATTCTGTATTATGTGGATTAATACGTAAAGATTAGAGCAATTTACTAGTATCCGGGATATAATGCACTTAACCTTAATGTTTAATGAGTTATTAAATATATTACTACAGTATTGACTTATATTATAAATAATGTTTACCATTGTATTATAATAATAAAAATTGATTTTTAAATGCCCTCACTCATATATAGTCATTTCTAGAGCCCGGAATCAGTGGAAAAAAGCGTAGAAAATACACTGTTTTCAGACCGATTTGGGTTCAATATAGCCTGAGTGAATAGACCTATGCACTAATCCTTGTGCTAATCCCTGATAGTGTAAAGTTGTAATATGATGTGCTAATCACTGATAAGAGAGAGATTAAGTTAGATGTGTTATACTAAACCCAGGTCATCTGAAAACAGTGTCTCTCTTCCACTCATTCCGGACTCTAGTCATTTCATTTATAGAAAATACTTTGTGCCTACTTCTAATAGTATCACGCACCAAACAAATGTCAATTAAATATATAATTATAGTGTATAAGTCTATTTATTAATTTAATAATAAGTTTAGTTATTATTATTATTATTATTATGATATTGATAGATAAGATTATATAGTATTTATTTGTTAAGTAGTAGTAATAACAATATTACCTTACTTTATATAAATATATTAAATAAATAACTTCAAACTTGTTTGTTTTTATGTTTTAAGTTAATACCAATATTTTTGTTAATATTAATATTAGTAAAACATTTTAGCCCTGATGATAGTCACAGTGATGGCCAAAAATGGTCGGCAATTATATTAATTTTATTTTTAAGTCATTTTCACTGATACTACAAATAAATATTGAAACCTTAAACTCTAAATAAAGTATTAATGTTTACGAGCATTTAATCTAAATAGTTAATTATTACATGTATGTATTTTAATATATGTATCTACACATAACATAATAAATTATAGTAAAAATACAAATACAATAAATAACATTTTTTAAAACTAATGATATATTAAATAAATAATATAAATGTCTCGGTTAATAAGCCGATAAGTTAATAATAAATAACAAATTAAAACTTTGATGCTAAATAAATACCTCTAGTTATTATGAAAATACAATAACAAATTATACTTTTAAATGACATTAAATTGAAGACCTTGGCAATTAAATAAGACTAATAATAAGGAAATAATTAGCGCCAGCGATATACACGTACTGATAAAACTCCCAATTATTCATAGGAAACAAATCATAGCAATAGAAACCAATGTCCGGACCCGACAACTGCTCAATAAATGTCCAAATCTTCAATCTATTCATTACGGAAATCTTCGTACTGTTAGCCAAATAGCGATACAATAAAGGACATGGCTTACGGGCAGCCTTGGGCACCCAGGTGCACATCATATTCATTACGATAGTAGCCGTAAAACAAATAACAGATATGAATCCGCAAAATATATTAGGGTGAGCCAACTTGTACAGGAACTGGAGGTGGCCGAGGAAAAGGAGCGCATAAGGGAACTGTCGTTCGAACTCTACTACATGCAGTTGGGGCTGACCGAGGAGCTCATGAAACTGGTCAGCTTCACACCGGCGCCCACCACTGAACCCACTGAACCCCCACCCCTCGCCCCACAATAAAACTATTTTAAAACAGTATACGTTACATGAAATTTAAATTGATTTTGGTTATAATAAATAGTTTTATAATTTTAAAAATTAGTGATATTTTATTCAATAATTTGGTATGTTACAAATTTTGCTAGTTAACTTTATAAATTAATATAAGTTATTTATGTTTTATGCCATATGTATTACTTATATGTATATTTTAACTAATAATATTAAATAAATATGTTTTGTTTAAATAAGTTAATAAAAGTAACATAAAGTCAAAAAAATACACAAAAGTTTATACCACTTGAACATGTATGAGATATCAGTGCTAACCTACAAAGTACTGGTGCTCTCGTGGATCACAGCCCAACGGCAACTAATCCACGACAGGACAGCCTCACAAAACTCATGGGACAGTAGCTACGACTTTATAGTAATGGGCGCCGGTACTGCCGGTGCTGTGGTGGCCAACAAACTCAGTGAATGCAAGTCAGTGCGGGTGCTATTGCTTGAGGCAGGAGGTGCTCAAAGTGCCACATATAATGACATACCAGGGATGTATACCGAGGTCATTACGAAACACGTGAATGAGTGGCTATACAATAATGAACCCAGACCCTATTTTGGACAGCAATACGCTGGGGGTCGAGTACCTGAGAACAAAGGCAAGACATTAGGGGGCTGTTCAGCACATAATGGGATGGTATTCATTAGAGGTAATAGTCGTGGTTATGACGAGTGGGTCAATACATACGGTGCTGTCGGTTGGAGTTATAAGGATTTGTTGCCAGTGTTTAAGGAATGGGAGAATAATACCGATCGGAGTATTGTCGAGAGTAATCCCAGATATCACGGGACTACTGGTCCCATTCAGATAACAACCCCACGACAACCCAGTCCTATACTCGGCTATGTCAACAGCGCACTGAATGAGTTGGGATATCCCGACACTGACCTCAATGGTCCCAATCAGTTGGGGGTTATGTTGAGTCAAGCATTTATAACTAGTGAGGGGTTGAGAGCGGGAACGGGAGGTGTGTTTGTGGACCCGAACCCACACGAAGACAATCTGCATATCGTTTG